GAATAGCATGAAATTACTTCATATTCTAAGATGATCATTTACCTGCTTAGAACAGCCTTACCTTTGAGCAGCTGGAGTTTGCTGTTTGCTTGAGCCAATAAGGCTTTAGCTTCATCTTGCAATGTGTTGGCTTTCCTCCTGGCATCAGCCGACTCTTCTGTCTTCTTGGCAATGAGGTCTTCCACCGTTTTGTACTTGCCGTTCAGCTCAGTGTTGAGGACCTGTTGTTCCAGATTCAAGCACAAGATGGAGCTCATTCAAAAGACAATACAGCGGCAGTTAGCGTTTCCTCCCCCCCTATCTTTACTAATCCGGGTGTGAGGAGAGACTACGCCGTTAGCTGTTAACGAAAGGACAACCAACGCTGGGGTAACCTGCTGAATATTCAAGTAACAGTCGGGGTGAAGACTCATCGGTTGCCCTTGTTGGGATCTGTAGCTGTTTTACAGCTTTGATACTGACGCTTGGCAAGGATTGATGGGGTTCAGTTACACAGTTCCATATCTCCTGGAAGACCTGCCCCCTAGTTACAGCTGGAAAACCACATGGGGCAAGGGACAGGCCCTGCTGCTGGCTGAATGCTTGGATTTGGGGAGGAATACCCTTGTTACCCTGTCAGTAACAAGAGTAGCTGCCTAGTCTGTGTAGGTGAAGGTGCTGGAGAAGTCATGAGGTCTGTTTCTCAGCTGTGCTTTTCTCTGCAGGGTTAAGATACAAACTCCCATGACCCAACTGAATTCAACCAATAAGTCTGTTAAACTGCAGCAGTACTGGAAGTCTCTTGTGTTTACTTGATAGCCACCTGAAATACTACTTAGTGTTCAGAAATAATTGATTTGATGGATAATACATCACTCCTGGAAGGAAATGCCTCTCTGGAGACTAGCTGGTGGGCTAACTATGGACACAGACTGGAGCAATGACACTTCCTTTGGCAGATTTGTCAATTGTTTTGCTAATGAGCATTCTTTTGCTATTACAAAGGTGTGAAGTAGACATTTGGGAGCAACACCATGTGGTCACAGAGCAAATTTAGCATCTCTGATATTTAGAGATTACTTTGGGTTTATATTGAGCTAATGATTTTTCTTGTTGCTTGATGCTGTATAGGCCAAATTCTGGGTTTCTCCTGAACCTTTCGTTGCCACAGACCTACAAATATCCTGCACGAGGGCAGAAAGTATCACCAGCTCTCCTGTGGCAGATAGCAAAGCTGAGGGACAGAAACGAACCTGTGAAAGGCTGACAGTGTGACAGCACGACACGTTTCCTGCAGCTACTTTAGAACCTGAAAACTTCCCAATACATCTTCCTGTGTCTGGTACCAAAGTAAAAAGCAGCTGTCTTCAGTAAGCGCATTAAATGCCTTTTTTTTTTTTTCCCCCTTTGTCCCCAGTACTTGACCAGTAAATTACATGGATCACATGTAAAGAAACTGATGTTCCTTTGACCACATGTGGGGTGAGATTTTTGTTGGCTTTCCCTCAGCAGCCTTCCTGAGCTTCTCACCTTTTTAACTTCTTCAGCATTTTGTTTTGCAGTAACGATTTTTTCTTCTATATTGTCCACATTCTCTGAATTTGTAGCAGCCTTTTGCTTAAGGTCTTCAACGCTCTTCTCTAGCTCAAACAGACGTAAGGTAGCATTGTTCAGTGTTTCTTCAGATGCTGCATTTTCAGATTCAATCTAAAAAAGAGGGATGAGAGTTACACTTTCAAAGGACAGTGTAATAATTAATACTAAACTTTCTGGATAAGCTGTGATCAACTAAGTTCATGTCCATAGATGTGATACAAAAACCACTGGTTTAATTTTGCTACAAATGCCCTATTGCAGTCAGGGTGAAAGAGCCCACTGCTTGAAAATGGGGTACATATGAGTCTGAAACAGTGTTAAGGAACATGGTTAAAAAGTACTTGATTGTATTACACATGCAAGAGTTGCTGAATCCACAGGCAAAACTTGAGATACTTGACTATCATGAAATAATGGACTTGTGAAGCTGCCTGTCTAAGCTGGCCAAGTTTCATTGGGTATGGATAGCACTATGGCCTCACGAGGGCTTTGAGATGAAGTCTGAAAATACTTCATCTGGCAAGATTACAGCAATTGCCACTTTAATCCCATGTTGTTTGTAGTGTTGTGCTGCAGTCATGAGTGATGCTGATCACATCACTACACCAACGTGCTACCAAACATGGTCAACAGGTTTGATTTCCAGGGATCCTGGCATGTCTCCTACAGTCCTGCTTATTTAACTTCAGGGGTTCAGGATATGGGGTAAGAAAAGCCTTCTGGCTTTTTTTTTTTTCCAGAGCAAATGGTCCCCTAGCATCTGTCATACTTACTCAAAAGTGGATGTGGATGCAGGAAAGGTTTAGGTTCATTTTAAGTGCAGCCTTTGACTTGCAGTACCCAAAAGCCTTCCCTAGACAGGCTTAAGTTCATAAGTATGAGACTTGGTGCTGTTTCTGTATCCTAAGAAATAATCATAAAGAACTCACTGAGGTCAGCAGGTCTTGAGTTCCTTTAATGTCTTCATCAGCTTGTTTGATGGCTTTTTCAGCTGCATTTTGAGCTTTTTCGGCTTCTTCCAGTGCTGCTTTCACCATGTCTGCAGTGACTTTAACATCTGTTGCACCTTTGCTGTGGAGCAAAACTATGTTAATGCTAAAAATACTTTTACTTTGGAACCAGAAAAAGAACTAATTGTACACTGCAAATGGCTGGGTTTGCCCCTTAGTAAAGGAATGAGACCTTACATCAGGGAAAGTTCAACCCCACGTTTTCTGAGACAATGAAATCAAAGTCTCATTCAAGCTCTTGGTGATGGAAAACAGCTAATGCAGAACAGGATTGGAATACCTTGCTTTTTTAGCTTCCTCCAGTAGCATTTCTGCTCTGGCAATGTCTCCAGCACTCTGCTGCAGAATGACCTCAACATCAGAAAGGCTTTCTACACGCTCACGAATGTCTTCTGTCAGGGCTTGCAGCTGCTGGGGCGTGCTTGGCATCTCCATGTTCAGCACTTCATTAGCCACTGCCTCGATGCTATCCAGGTCAGCGCTGTCTTCTAGGAGATGGACACAAATGACAAAGATGTGAATAAAAGCTTCCCTCTGTCACATCTCAGTACTCAAATGTCTGCCTGCTCCCTTACGAAGGAAAATAATGGGGAAACTTCCTCCCTAAGACTTATGGAAAATGAAGGTGTTAAAACTGCATCCTTAGGGTGAAAATTCCCTCTCGGGCGAGGCCTGGCAGGTGCGTAGGCCCTGCTGGCACAGCTCTCTTGGAAGCCATCTGAAGATCTTGGTGATTATTTACACCTCACTGGGGCTGTGGGGGGAGATGGGAGCCCAGAGGAAATGAAGCCAAGGGCTGCACATAAATGTGTTTGTGCTAACTCTACTCAGCCTTGTGCAAACAGGGAAGGAGCAGGTTTGCCGTGCTGCTGCTGGCAAGTGAACAAGGCCCTCATTTAGCCTCTACCTGCTTCCTTACGGAGATAAACTCTGCTGCCGACTATTCCTCCCCTTTAACAGCATTTTAGCTTGCTAGCCAGGACTTACGAACACACTTGGCAAACTACAATGGTACAGCAGCCTCCGCTGAAATGAACACAACAACATGTCACAGTTTCCTCTCATTTTCCTATTGTCTTGGTTTTCTCTTGTTTCCAGATTTCATCATACACACGAAGTCTGGCTGAAAGGGGAGGGGAAGGAGACAACTATTGCATTACCCCGCAGAGGATGACTCGGAGCTAAAGATAGTTTTCACACACCCAAAATGAAAATATAATTTAAATGTAAGGTTTTTACGCATTAGGAAGTCTCTAATCTGTTTAATAAGGTTTCTCAGATCTTCATTGCTTCTGTCCACTTGTTCTTTTGTAGCATTGGTTTTAAGCAAAACTGCTTGTGCATTTTGTTTTGCTTCATCGGCTCTCTGTTTCGCCTCAGAAACCTAAAGAGAGGAAAATGGAAGGCTTGATTGCATATTTGCTTATGCTCTAAGGCCTGTTTTAATACAAAAATTCAGCTGAGTCAGAGGAAACAGTAATGAGAAATGCTTTTTCTCATAAAACTCACAAAACACTTAAAAGCTGGCCATGATCCGTACCCACCAATGCTAATTTAAACAGCTCAAGCTAATGTTTGGAGTTATCCATGAAGCAAGCTTGAGCAAGCTCCCTTTCAGAGTATCTTTGCAAGCTTGACGAAATTACACAATGGAAAAGAAGTATTTTGAAGTCAGACACATACTTTCTCAATTAGTATCTAAACTTGTGTTACAAATAAAAGTTTTGGTTATTTTTTTTTTTAAATATCTAACGATTTGGCATATTACCATGTTGGAGAGTTGCTCAACTTCTGCTAATGCACTGAGGATGTCTCTGTCAAAATCCATGGCTTTCTGCCAGGCATTGTGAGCTAGGGTCACCAGCCCGTCGCAGCCAGGTCCCCCACACTTCTTCTTTCCATCATCCGTTCGACAGTTTAAACCTCCACACTCGGACTCGGCACAAGAGGCTCCCACAGGAGTGCCACATGTCTGCAGAGACACATTAAGGCAAGGGAAACAGTCACAGCTCTATTTCCATTGCTGAGCTGAGGAGGATGGAGTAGGACGCTGCTCTACATGATGTTTGCATCCCAAGTACCACAAGGAAGGAGCTGAAGTAGAACTGCAAGAAGGAAGTGGTCCTGAAGCAGGTCCATACCAACACGACTTTAACCTTTCTTCTGTGCCCCCTGCACATTTTGCCTTTACCTTCTGTGCCCCCTGCACCTTTTTGCCTTTACCTTGGTTACAAACAGGCAGCTCCCTGATGCTGAAGCAGCTGGAGGTTATGAGGGGAGCCCTGTCATGCCTTCATTGTCTGCTTTTCCTGTACCTCATCTTTCACTGCAGAGCTGTGTTTAAGCTTTGGTTTCAAGCTGGAAGCTACTACTGTCTGTGTGCCTTTTGTTTGCAGTCAGGCTTCATCCCTGCTGCAGGAAAAACTGCCCATGCCAAGAAGCCATTTTTACAAGAAAGTGTTTCGTGCAGAGTAGGAGCTTCTCCTTTTCTCTACTGCTCTAAAAATGAAATACTAAGAAGCTGAAATGCTCCAAGTTTAATGGGAAACTGTTTTGCATCTCCTTTAAAAAGCTGTCCCATTGCATGCCACCAAATATTTGCTCTGACTTCACCTTGCCAGAATACTTTCTAGTTTGTGAGTTGTTGTCAGGATGTGTTCCCATAAAAAATTTCAAGGCAGAATTTTTTTTTTTTGAAAGCAACATTTTTACTGAGAGTTATCTGCTACTTGGTCAATTGTTTGGCCAATGAAATCACTTAGGAGTTGTTCAGCCAGACAGAAAATTTGCCATTCCTTTGAGGTACTTTTCCCTTTCTACCCCATCCCTTTTGCCAAATGATAGTCACTAACCACCTACTTTGCAGCCAAAGCCTCTCTGGGAAAACCCAGGGCCGTGCCAAGTTAGCTTTTTCCTGTGAAGTGTAAATGAGTGCCTCTTACCTGTCTGGCAGGCAATCCAACAGGAGCTATAAAGCAAAGACTTTTTTTTTTTTTTTTTGGTGCTCCAAGCAACTCAGTGTTTATGGCCTTGATAAACATCCGCCCAAGATTTTCAGTCCCCCAGAACAGCTAGGGAGGAGGGCAGGGAAAGGGAAACTAAACAAAAAGATGCCTCTTTCTTTCCTCCTGAGAAAAAAGCAGGGCTGGGGGAGTCGAGAGGGATGACCAGTAGTTATAAAGGAGAAGGGACAATTCATCCTCTAACAGGGGCCTTGGCCTGCCCTGGGGAGTTAATGAGCAGTCCCCTGCAGCTACGCCTTCACACAGGATTGTTCTCCCAGTGGAGCTGGCCGATTTCAAAGCAAAACTGAGGGAACACCCACCCCCTCCCAAGAAAAAGCCACCCTTGATCATGTTCACAGATGAGCAGGCAGCTTCAACAGAGAAAATGCCCTTCTGACTCCAGCTCCCTCTCAGTTCTGCTTGATGTCAAGCACGAGGACGGGAGGGTGGTGATGCCAAGGAGGGTGGCCCATCGGTGCGAGCAGCAGCACTGCCTGGCTGGGCACTGTGCGGGCATGGCGCACGCCCTGCGGAGCCACGGAAAGGAGAGAGGCACCCGGAGACAGCAAGCACCTGAACTCGGGGCAGGCTTACGTGGATGGCTCAGTCCAGCAGACTCGCCACACTCTTCTGCACGTCGAAGCTCTGTGCACAGCAAAAGCCTTTGGCTTAGGACAGGGGTGATGAGAAGATGCATGCTCTGTTGGGGCTGGGAAGGGCAGGAGGGAGACCAACATGAAGGGCTGGTGCCTGAAAGCCAGTAGGTCTGAGAACCCACCAATTAAACAGCCCTTTTCTAGCTCACAAATACCCCATCATCTGAGAAATGCATTTTTCATGGACAAACTGTGTTATCTCACACTGTCAAGCCCTAAACAATTCCTCTCTACACATCGCTTCTTCACAAACCTGACTTTATTTTTGCTACAGGTTTTACACCAGTGACTGTCAGCCATGTACCTTCTCAGCTACTTCCGAGAGATCCAGGCTCTGCAGCTTGCCTGCGAGTTCATCCAGAAGGCGCGACTGCTCCTCTTGTTTAGCCTTAAACTGGGCCTCCTTCTCAGCCATCAAGCCTTCCACTTCCTGCCGCGTCTGGGCCGACAGCTCCACGGCGCTGTCGGGGTGAACAGTGGAGGCATTGACCCTCTCCTCTGCCTCCAGGGACATCTGGAAGTACTTGGTGATACTATCCAAGGCTCCTGCAAAAAGCAGATGGAGCTGCTCAGGAATGTTTTGTAACCCAAAGTAATCTATATTATGGAGGTTGCAGATGACACATCGGGGTCAGTGATATGAATAGAAAGTTAAATGGAACACCAGCCTTTGTAGCTGTATTCGGTGCCATTGCAAGGATGACAGAATTTGGCCTGTTGTGGGAAAAAAAAAAAAGTTTTTTTTATTTTCCTTGGTTGACAGTGTGCTAAGTTTGCTGGATTTTGAAGTTCAGCTCTTCTCTGACTCTAGTGACTGAATCTGCTTGCCCTGTGGGCAAAGGGAGATCCAGCCCTTTAGGTTTATAGAGCAACAGTCTGTTTTCTAAGGATACATTTATCCCATTAGTTCTTATTGCTTGCCCTGGAATGTCTGGCTTATGGAGTCACTCTTTGGAAACTGGTCAGAGCTTTCTGAAGCAACAACTGCTTGATGAAAGATGCTGATTTACAGAACTTTTTGTTTTGGACAATTACTGGAGAGGCCTTGAGCGGGTGTGAGGGACCCTGCAGGGGTAGCTGCACCCTGCACCTCAGGGCAGCTTTCCTGTGCAGAATGCCACAGGTTGGGACGCTCCTGTTCTACATCCTTGCCTCATTCTGCAAAATGACTGGAAACAATCTCAAGACTTCCTATGAAATTAAAAAGGGAAAAAAAACCAAGCAACTTTGATTCAAGCTGGACTGAAGCTAACTTTCAACATTTCCAAAGAAATCGGTGTCATTCCTCTTTCTCCAGCAAATTTTGATTCTTGCCACACTCCAGTGTGCGAATGGGTATGCAAGGCTTGGGTGGCTTAGAAGAATTGGGCCCTTACAGTGTAATCCTAGTCAGAAAGATCCAAGTAATTTTTTTTTCAAATAGAAACAGCAATTTAACAGACTGGGGAGAGCAAGGGAGATGTCCAGAGGCGTATCTTGGAATCTGCTACGCTTTCAGCTGTTATGTCTCATCTAAAACGTATTAATCAAGAGACTTTAAGACAATTCTGTGCCCCAGGAACTTAAGCTGGCTCTGCACTGTGCAGAGGAAGAGAGAGGGGGTAAGGGGGCAAAACAAAATTCCTGCTATAATGCACAGAAATAAGCTGCCCTCCTAGGAACTGTGTTTTACTACAAGCTAGAACACTAACTTGGTATTTAAAACCATGCACTAATTAAATCTTTGGCCACCCCACTGCTTTCTCCCCTTCACTTACCCCGAACATCAGAGATCTTGATGAACTCTAGCTGTTCTGCAAGTTCTTTCACGACACGGTCTAGGCTTTTGGCATCTGTCTCCAGCATATTCAGGTCAGCATCTGTACTGTTACTCTTCACTGCCAAGGCTGATAGGTTTTCTTCTATCTCAGCTATCTTAACTGTAACATCTGCTGTCAGCTTTCTGTAAAACAGAGGCACAGGGCTCAACTGTGAGGGGGAGGAGGAAGGGAAGGGCTGCGAGCCTTGGTGCTTCAGTTCACTGAAGAGTGGTGGTTAGTGGTTAGAGCCATGCTGAGCTTCTCCCACGGCAGGACCTGTCCTCCCCTCAGTGAGCTGTACGTGATTTGTAACAACACGCCTACCTAAAATACTGGTTTGTTTCCTTTATCATACAAAACTACTTTTTAATCTACAGCACGTTTATAAACTCAAAGCACCAAATTGCTTAGAAAACAGCTGCTCTGTGTAAGATTAACTGGAGGCAGATTCCAGAGAACTGGTGTAATGCTCTTGTATCATGGCAACTGCATAGGTCAGAGTTGACTACTATGATCCATACATAATTTGCTTCCCATCCCACACAGCTACAAATGCAGTTTTGATTACTACGAGCTCATGAGACAGATTTGAACTTCAGAAAGTGGGGCTGGGGGGAAGCTTTAGTTTTAACACAATGGATTCTTTTTCCTCTCTGTAAAGATCCCTCCTCAAAAGCCATTTCTCTAGGGCTGTGAAGGGAAACCTCCTGCCCTCAGCATTCAGCACTGCCTCAGTGAGCCAGGGAGCAGGCTTTAGCTAGTAGGATAACCCTAAAAGGAAAAGCAAGTGTACATTACACATCAATGCTGCTGCAGAACAGAAGCGGGCACAGGAAGATATTCCCATCCATGGTGATCCCACCAAACCCAGTGTTTCCTCATTCTGAAAGAATCAGGTAGTATTTAAGCCCTATGATCATTTTATAGCTCTCTCAACAGCCCAACAGCCTGATACTTTCCAGGAGTCCCCCAAAGCCCAGTACTTCTATACAACCAGAGAGGAGCAAGAACAGATACATGTGTATGTATATAAGGGAAAGCCAGCTCCTCAGCTGCTGTGACCTCCCTCAGCACGCAGAGCCCAAACGCAGGAGCAACCCCCAGCTCTCCAGCTGGAGGAGGGGAAGCTGCAGGACACAAGCATATCCCTAATTGAGACATTTGTCCTTTAATCCTCTCCCCTTTGCTTTGTGCAGTCCCCTTTACAATGCACAAGCAAATTCAAGCGGTTGCACATAGGGCAAGAAAGAACCTATAATCCTACTTGACGTTAAACGGCTCCATCTCCAAAAGATAAAAACTACCATCTTTTGTATGCTTGGCGCTGAAACAAAATAGAAAGCTCCTACCCTGAGAAAAATGGAAACAATCCCTGTAAAGCTGATGCTTCCTCCCCCACGTGCTCAGAGCGCAGAAGGAACCCAAGTTTCCAACTCATCAGCTACTCTCGGATATCCAGGAATTTAATCCCTCCCCTCTCATTCTCTCACATAATAGCAGTGCTTGTCCTTTGCCCCGGGGGAGCGCAGGCCAGCCGAGCGCTCCGGGTGCAGGAGGAGCC